AAATTACAATTTTAATAGAACTTAAGAAGAATATTATAAATATTATAGTTAAATAATTGACGCTAGAAAATTAAATGTTTCACATTCTGAATAAGATACTAAATTAATAAATATTTTTTAAAGCAAAGACCGTCTAATTTGGGAAATATTTTATTTTATTATAATTTTACATATAAATTGAATTATAGTTCCTTCTTTCGGTAGAAAACTTCAAGGTTGCTTAATAAAGCAAGGCAAACAAAGAGAACGATCAGAATCCACGTTCCCGAAAAAATATGGATTTACTATGCGTAATAAAGTTTTAGAATAATTGCATAAAATATTGATATAATGAAATCATTATATTGTAATTTTGAGTGTATTTAAAGATCATGATTAATTTAAACATTATATTTTATAAAGTAGTAAATGTGTTATTTATATGTCATTTTTTACGAAAAAGGTGTTAGGGGGTCTACTCTTTTCGAATTTAGGAAAAAATCAGTTCGTGCCACTTGTAATTTGAATGTAATTGTAGGTATTTATGGACACACGATAATAGGTTTAAAAATATATATAGATTTTAATCCATGATATGTTTTTTTTAAAAGCTATTTCATAAAATTTAACGTATAGGATCTTCCAATAATGGATTTTAATTTTCGTTAAATATTTATTGGATGCGAATTGATGCATAAGTTTTAAAAGGGAATTCTAATAGTCAGATTTTCTACTTTATTAATATTTTATATTGATTATGAAAATTAATTGGTCATAATAAAGGAAATTAATTTAATAATGATCAACCATATTAACAAAATAAATAATATCTTATAAATTTCAGATATAATAACAGACAGAAGTTATCGAGCCAATAATTTAGCACCTGGGGTTTCGTACATTAGCTCGGATGGCTTGATAATCAGTATAAAGAGAATTGCTAAGTTTAGACAATATGTTTTTTACAAGTTTGCTATTAGAAATGGTCCAGGAGGTCAAGCCACTCCTATAAAGCTTAAGGTAACAGTTATTCATTTAATGTGCTAGGGGGCTACTGGGATCCTTTGATCATTATTTTTCTGATTTGCAATATAATATCGAATAAAAATTATAACGCTCAGCCTGAAACGGCCAGGGTATATTTTTTAAAAATGATTTTGGGCTGGGTCGAGCATAATATTTTTTAAAGAATTTCGGGCCAAATTTGGGCTTAAATTTTAAATATGATATCATTACATTTTGTCAAATAAATTGATATAATTTAAAATTTTTTACAAGATTCAAGTCGCTAATATTTTATATTTGTAGAATATACATGGTAGGGAAAACTACTATAAGAATTCCTGACACCAAATTTGATTTATTTAGCTAAAATGCTTAAGAAGTTGTTGACCTTTATTAAGAAAGTAGGATAGAGTGGCTGGTGAATAAGATATTGAGGGATAGTATTTTTTTTGCTATTTTTAAAAATTTATAATGATTTTGATAAAACACAATTTACCAGATTATTACAAGTTAGGAGAATTTTATAGCCTTTCTTTTTATCAATCAAGATAGGCTTCATTTTTCTTTTTCAATAAAAGATTACTACAGTTTCTATACTATCATCTCTTAAATCAAATTTATCACTAAATATCACCTGATTCCATTTATCGGAAGTGTATTCCTTTCTTTTTTTTAATAACGTCTTTTCTTTGATCTTTGAAAAGGGTAGATTAGAATCTGTTGACCAAATAGTAATCTAAAATTTTAACTTATAAAATGTAATAAGCTCTTTTATGAGTTGTTTTTATTACAAGTGGATTTTGAAATAATTTTCTCGAAAACAAAGTGTCACCGTTTTTTCCAAGTCTTTTAAATTTATTTCTTATTTTTTTAAAGTTTAATTAGAAGGCTATCATAGCGTTCTTTATAATGTCTGTATATGTAGTATCGTGATACGAAATCCATCAAAATGGCTAAACCTAAAATTTTTAGGGAATATTTCAGAAACCATCGTAAAAGTGTCGCTTCTTTGTGTTACGGCTTATTTATTTTGTTTTTATATTTTGTTTTTATTAATTTTTAAATCTTTATTTTTCAAAAATAAAATTACTATAAGATAAATTTTTTATTATAAATGATAAAAATATATGTACCACATCTATAAAATATATTTTAAAAAGATATATTTAAAGAGAAAACTTAAAAAATAAATATTCAGATTAAGTCGGTGGGGCTTACTATAGATATAGTAGGTTACGTCTGTGGGGCTTAATGACCCATGTATAAGTTATATCAACAAATTTCTATCAATCTTTGTCGTAAGTTAAAGCCCACTTATTATTATTTGTTTTTTAAACTTATTATTAAAAATTAAAATCAGAAAATGTCAGAAATATATAGAAGGTAAATAATAAAAATTGATAAGAATAAAATTTAGATAGAGACAAATGCATTGTAAATAATAATCTAGCTCATAGTAAAACGCCGAAATTATGAGATAAAAGTTTCTGATAAATAAATATAGTTTATTCGCCACTTCATGTGATGTTACCAATTTCCATAATAACTCAATGGGTAAATATAAGATAGCATATAAGTAACAAGTGTATCCGGTACAAGAACAAACTAAGGATGCTCCCCCAAAATGTATTCGAGAGCAGTAGAATGTTGTAAATAATTATTTTTAATAAAATGTTTTACTCTGCAATATATTGTTTGTAAATAATTTAATAGATAACAAAAGTCCACGGTTTTAAGATGCTAAACATATAGATAATAAAAGTCCACGGTTTTATGATGCTAAACATAATTGTCCTGGGAGGGAAGTTCCAAAATTTTACCTACCAAACCCTTCACCACCCGCTCCTCTCCCCAAAAAATATAAATAAAATATCACTATAAACGATAATTTGATGGAAAAATATAAAAGTTAATAATTTTTTTAAATAATGACTATTATTCAATATTTTTAGAAAAAAATCATATTAAAAAATAGAAAATGAAAATTTAAACTTTTATTTATAAAATTCAACACAGCCAGCCTATAATAGGTAATACTAAAAATGATTTCCAATAAAATTTATGGGATGAATTAATTCTAAGCAAAATCCTGGATACGCCTATGTGTCAATTCTTAAGACTTATAAAATTCCCAGCTAACCAAAATTTTTATGCAATATTTTTTATCAAAAGAACTAAATCATAAATAACTTTTGATAAAGATCTTATTATAAAAAATGAAAGGTTAACCAAAATTTTTAAGGAACTAATATTTTAATTTCAAGGTTAATGTTAAAAACAAAATTATAGGAAAAATATGCAACAATAATAGCTAAATTATAATTTATAAAAATTTTTTTAATTATTAAAAAAAATATACGAATGAAAAATTTTGAAGGGACTTTCAGTAAATTAAGATCCTATGAAGTTAAAAAAAACACATACTAAAAATATTACAAAAAATATAATAATATTAACTGTTATTTACGATATAAAATAATATTATTCTTATAAAAATTCCACATTAATAATATACCAACTCCTCAAGGTTTTTAAAAGATTCCGAATGTGATACTATTTTTAAACTGTTATGATATGTATATAAATTCTTACAAATATTATGATCTACCTATTAAAAAAAATTCCACTTCTTAAATACTCTACTTCCAAGATATCAGTTAATAACCATATTAATTCAAATATTCCAATCTAATGATAAACTCAGGAGAAAAATGATTAGAAGCACTAACTTGTAATAACGTTGTCAATCTCTTATTTCATAAATAATTAAGAGCCGGCTATGGGCTTACCCTCTAAGATTAGATATCGTTACCCCACATCTCTATGTAAAATAGTAAGTCATCAACGATACATTACTATAAACCTTATAAATGATTAAAGCCTAGCTGCTTTTCAGTTATCTAACCTTAAGAAAACAAACCTACCCAATAAACCAGATGGCTTTAAAATAATCGTTAACAAATCTTATTAATAAGCAATTAAAAAAAATAGAAAAATTTAAAAATTAAATCCAACCATCTAAATTAAAAATACCATTTTTAAAAGAAAGACAGAAAGAAAGAAAATATATTTTGCTGATTCTGGTTAAAAAAAATTTTATGGGTTCTGTTCAAAAGAAGGTTATGGTTGCTTGATTCGACACTAATAACTAGCGTTTTAGTAACTTCGAACTGGTAACATGTTTTAGTAATCAGGGTGAGAATTTTCAAAAAGATTAATTCCAATATAAATTAAAATACACTTCATAAAAAAAATATTTGAATAAAAATACAAATACATTTAAAAAAAAAAAATTAACCTATTAAATATAAATATTAAATGACTATAATAAAAATTTTTTGAGCATAATTATCACATAATGAATTATATAGCAGACAAATAATTATTAAAAAATAGAGCAAGCCTAAAAGAAATTTAAATAAATTATATAAATATAAATGTTATGTTAAATAAAAAAAAAAATTTAAATAAAATGCCATTTAATCTTTTCCTATTTAGCGTAGTAATTAAATTTGCAATGATTAATCATTTCTTTTCGCTCTTTTTACTTTTCTTTTAACTTTTCTTTTTACTTTTCTTTTCTTTTTGTTTTAAGCAGAATAGACAAAAGAATTATATTTAAAAAATAATAATTTATATATTTCCTTCTCTTATTCTATGTAATAATCTTCCTCAGAAAATTTGTATATTCAGTTTACCTTTCATAAATATTCATTTCAAAGATAAAAAGGAATTAAACGGATAAGATATTAATTTTTTTTTCATCAACTCGGGTGACAAATTTAAATAAATTGTGTATTTATAATTAAAATTTAATATTAAAGAAAAAATTATTTTTATTCTTGTGAATCAAATCGTAGTAAATAAAAAATATTTTTTATTTTTATAATCAAATAAATATTATATATAAATTGAAAAAAAATATTTGTATTTAGTATTATAATTATAAGTAATCGCCAAACCTGATTGTAATTTAAATAAATATTAATATAATTTATTGTATCCGAAAAATTTAAATGAAGGTTTTCATTTTATTGGTTAGTAAATATTAAATAGGAAAGCAAGGATATTGATTTATAAAAATGCGTTATTTTTTAAAATATATTATGATTAGATCATTATATATTTATTAAAAATATTAAAGGTATCAAACTCCAAAGGAAAAATATTAGTTGGATTGTTAAAATTTACATCTCGAAGAATTATAACAAGCTTCTTAACTAGACCGAGTTCAACTCCTAGTACTGAAACCAAGACAATCATAAATATTGATACTATACCAACAATTGCAAAAACAGCTACTAATGAAACCGTTACGGACTCATCAACTGCTAAAGATAAAACAACCCCAAATATTCCAACATCCACATTTATAAACGATACCTCAATAACCGAATCTAGTACTGATACTACAGCAACTACACAAACAAATAAAATAACCATACCTAGTACCGATACAACCACTATTTCTCCTACTACGAATATCATCTCAATCACTAGTATTACTGATACAAAGAAACCTACACCTCTTACTGATACGTTTACAAATACAGCTACTACAGAAACCGTGGCAGACTTATCAACTATTGAAGCTAAAACAACCACCCCAAATATTGAAACTACAACATCCACATTTATAAACGATACCTTAAAAACTGATACTAGTACCGATACTACAGCTACTATAAAAACAAATAAAATAAGAATACATAGTACCGACACCACCACTATTTTACCTACTACAAATATAATCACTACTATTAATGATAAAAAGAAACCTACACCTCTTACTGATTCCTTTACAAATGCAGCTACTACAGAAACAGTTGCAGATTCATCAACTAATGAAGCTAAAACAACCACGCCAATTATTCAAACTAAAACATCCACATTTATAAACGAAACCTTAAAACCCGAAACTAGTGCAGATACTACAGCCACTATACCTACAAACAAAATAATAATACCTAGTACAGACACCACCACTATTTCATTTACTACCAATATAATCACTACTATTACTGATACAAAGAAACCTAAACCTCCTACTGATACCTATACAAATACAGCTATTACAGAAACCGTTGCATATTCATCAACTACTGAAGCTAAAATAACCATCCCTAATATTGAAACTAAAACATCCACATTTATAAACGAAACCTTAAAACCCGAAACTAGTGCAGACACTACAGCCACTATACCTACAAACAAAATAATAATACCTAGTACAGACACCACCACTATTTCATTTACTACCAATATAATCACTACTATTACTGATACAAAGAAACTTACACCTCTTACTGATTCCTTTACAAATGCAGCTATTACAGAAACCGTTGCAAATTCATCAACTATTGAAACTAAAACAACCACCCCAATTATAGAAACTACAACATCCACATTTATAAACGAAACCTTAAAACCCGAAACAAGTGCAGATACTACAGCCACTATACCTACAAACAAAATGACAATACCTAGTACAGACACCACCACTATTTCACCTACTACCAATATAATCAATACTATTACTGATACAAAGAAACTTACACCTCTTACTGATTCCTTTACAAATGCAGCTACTACAGAAACCGTTGCAGACTCATCAACTACTAAAGCTAAAATAAACATTTCTAATATTGAAACTACAACATCCACATTTATAAACGATACCTTAAAAACTGATACTAGTACCGATACTACAGCCACTATACCTACAAATAAAATAACAATACCTAGTACCGACACCACCACTATTTCACCTACTACCAATATAATCACTACTATTACTGATACAAAGAAACTTACACCTCTTACTGATTCCTTTACAAATGCAGCTATTACAGAAACCGTTGCAAATTCATCAACTATTGAAACTAAAACAACCACCCCAATTATAGAAACTACAACATCCACATTTATAAACGAAACCTTAAAACCCGAAACTAGTGCAGATACTACAGCCACTATACCTACAATCAAAATAACAATACCTAGTACAGACACCACCACTATTTTACCTACTACCAATATAATCACTACTATTACTGATAAAAAGAAACCTAAACCTCCTACTGATACCATTACATATACATCTACTACAGAAACCGTATCAGACTCATCAACTACTGAACCTAAAATAACCATCCCTAATATTGAAACTACAACATCCACATTTATAAACGATACCTTAATAACCGAATCTAGTACTGATACTACAGCCACTATACCTACAAATATAATAACAAGACCTAGTACCGACACCACCACTATTTCACCTACTACCAATATAATCACTACTATTACTGATACAAAGAAACTTACACCTCTTACTGATTCCTTTACAAATGCAGCTACTACTCCAGATTCATCAACTATTGAAGCTAAAACAACCACCTCAAATATTGAAACTGCAACATCCACATTTATAAACGATACATTAAAAACCGTAACTAGTACCGATACTACAGCCACTATACCTAATAAAATAACAATACCTAGTATCGACACCATCACTATTTCACCTACTACCAATATAATCACTACTATTACTGATACAAAGAAACCTTCACCTCTTACTGATACCATTACATATACAGCTAATACAGAAACCGTTGCAAATTCATCAACTATTGAAGCTAAAACAACCACCCCAATTATAGAAACTACAACATCCACATTTATAAACGAAACCTTAAAACCCGAAACTAGTGCAGATACTACAGCCACTATACCTACAAATATAATAACAATACCTAGTACCGACACCACCACTATTTCACTTACTACCAATATAATCAATACTATTACTGATACAAAGAAACCTACACCTCTTAATGATACCATTACATATACAGCTACTACAGAAACCGTTGCATACTCATCAACTACTGAAGCTAAAATAACCATCCCTAATATTGAAACTACAACATCCACATTTATAAACGATACATTAAAAACCGTAACTAGTACCGATACTACAGCCACTATACCTAATAAAATAACAATACCTAGTATCGACACCATCACTATTTCACCTACTACCAATATAATCACTACTATTACTGATACAAAGAAACCTTCACCTCTTACTGATACCATTACATATACAGCTAATACAGAAACCGTTGCAAATTCATCAACTATTGAAGCTAAAACAACCACCCCAATTATAGAAACTACAACATCCACATTTATAAACGAAACCTTAAAACCCGAAACTAGTGCAGATACTACAGCCACTATACCTACAAATATAATAACAATACCTAGTACCGACACCACCACTATTTCACCTACTACCAATATAATCAATACTATTACTGATACAAAGAAACCTACACCTCTTAATGATACCATTACATATACAGCTACTACAGAAACCGTTGCATACTCATCAACTACTGAAGCTAAAATAACCATCCCTAATATTGAAACTACAACATCCACATTTATAAACGATACATTAAAAACCGTAACTAGTACCGATACTACAGCCACTATACCTCCAAATAAAATAACAATACCTAGTATCGACACCATCACTATTTCACCTACTACCAATATAATCACTATTATTACTGATACAAAGAAACCTACACCTCTTACTAATACCATTACATATACAGCTACTACAGAAACCGTTGCAGATTCATCAACTATTGAAACTAAAACAACCACCCTAATTATTGAAACTTTAACATCCACATTTATAAACGAAACCTTAAAACCCGAAACTAGTGCAGATACTACAGCCACTATACCTACAATCAAAATAACAATACCTAGTACAGACACCACCACTATTTCACCTACTACCAATATAATCACTACTATTACTGATACAAAGAAACTTACACCTCTTACTGATTCCTTTACAAATGCAGCTATTACAGAAACCGTTGCAAATTCATCAACTATTGAAGCTAAAACAACCACCCCAATTATAGAAACTACAACATCCACATTTATAAACGAAACCTTAAAACCCGAAACTAGTGCAGATACTACAGGCACTATACCTACAATCAAAATAACAATACCTAGTACAGACACCACCACTATTTCACCTACTACCAATATAATCAATACTATTACTGATACAAAGAAACCTACACCTCTTAATGATACCATTACATATACAGCTACTACAGAAACCGTTGCAGACTCATCAACTACTGAAGCTAAAATAACCATCCCTAATATTGAAACTACAACATCCACATTTATAAACGATACCTTAATAACCGAATCTAGTACTGATACTATAGCAACTATACCTACAAATAAAATAACCATACCTAGTACCGATACCACCACTATTTCCCCTACTACGAATATCATCGCAATCACTACTATTAATGATACAAATAAACCTACCTCTCGTACTGATACCATTACAAACACAGCTACAACAAAAACCATTGCAGATTCATCAACTACTAAAGCTAAAATAACCATCCCTAATATTGAAATTACAACATCTACATTTATAAACGATACCTCAATAACCAAATCTAGTACTGATACTACAGCAACTACCCCTACAAATAAAATAACCAAACTTAGTACCTATACCACCACTATTTCCCCTACTACGAATATCATCTCAATCACTAGTATTACTGATACAAAGAAGCCTACACCTCTTACTGATACGTTTACAAATACAGCTACTACAGAAACCGTGGCAGACTTATCAACTACTGAAGCTAAAATAACCATTCCTAATATTGAAACGACAACATCCACATTTATAAACGATACCTTACTAACCGATACTACAGCAACTACACCTACAAATAAAATAACCATACCTATTACCGATACCACCATTATTTCCCCTACTACGAATATCATCTCAATCACTACTATTATTGATACAATTAAACCTACAACTCTTACTGATTCCATTACAAATACAGCTATTACAGAAACCGTTGCAGATTCATCAACTAGTGAAGATAATACAACCATCTCTAATTTAACAGCCGCACGAACTTTTGTTGTGCCAACTATCACAACTATAATGAATATAACAACAGCAGCACTTATTACTGATATCGCACCAACTACACTAAATCATCAAACCCTAACAACCACAGCTACAACTATAGCAACAATACCTAGTATGGATGCCACTTCAACACTTCTTGTTACTCCTTTAAATATAAAACGACTGCAAGGTTGCTTAATAAAGCAAGGCAAACTGAGGGAACAATCACAATCCTCATTACCCAAAAAAATTGAATTTTATATGCGTAATAATATTTGTATAATAGTGCATATAACATTGATATAGCAAATTAATGTTATTTTTTCCCATAGTATAGGTAACCGCAGGGGCGCCACTAGCCTTTAAAATCCCAGGGGGCTCAAAAAAACTTTCGAATTGTTTCAAAAAAAATTTTTAGAAAAAGGTTTAAAATTTTCCATAGGCATTTCAAATTTTTTAGGGGATTCAAGTACCACTACACGCCCTCTCCCCTCTAGTGACGCTACTGGCTAACCTTAGTTAGTAAACCTATATTATATTTAGTAATTAACAATCAAAAATTGAAATCATTTTATTCTTGTTTTTATCCCCAACGTTTCCAAACGCTGATTTACTTTTCATTGGTTACAATGTAATAAATGAAACTCTCCTAAATATTTTGTTAGTCAGTTATATCTCAATAAATTATAGCTTATAATCAGTTTTGAATATAACCCGTTAAAAACATGATGAATTTAAACTTAACATTTTACTTCAATAATGTTATATTTTATTTACGGGAGAAAAGGTATAAATGGATCTATTCTTTTGGAAATTAGAAAATATTTAATTAATACCACTTGCAACTTGGATATAGTTGTGGCTATTCTAGAAAATTCGATAATAGGTTTAAAAAAATATAGTTTTGATCTATCTTTTTTTCATTGCTTTTCTTTTTTAATTTAGTTATATATATAACTAGAAATATAGAATATATTTTACAAAATTATTTCTTTTAATAGATTTAACATGTAGGATAATTTTTTATATATTTATTTTTTAATGGATTCAAATTTTGGTCAAATATTTGTTAGATGTCAATTAAGGCCATTATAAAATAAAATTTTAAAAGTCAACATTTTTATTCTAATAACATTATATATATATTTGAAAATAAACTAAATATAGTTACGATAATTATTTATTTATATAATAAGTTTTAATAGCCAAAATAGTAAAATATATTTTATTATTTATAGATATTGTAACAAACCGAAGTTATCGAGCCAACAATTTAGAACTTGGGGTAGAGAAATACATTCGGTCAAATGGATTGACAATCGGTATAACACGAATTATCAAGTTTAAGAGATATTTTATATACAAGTTCGCTATTAGAAATGGTCCAGGAGGTCCAGCTACTCCTATAAAACTTAAGGTAACAATTATTTAAATAATAATCTGGTAAAGACCAGGTTTTTTTCTGCTCACTATTTTTCCGATTTGCAGTTTAAAAAAAATAGGACTTAGATTTAAACTATTAAATACAATTATAAAATCCTCGGAATTCGGTTTCTAATAGTGATAGAATTTTTAGAATTAATCCCATATCCGGAATGAGGCGACATTAAATCAGTGGCGAATTATTTCTATACAAACAAGAAACTCTGGACTAAATCTCTCATAAAGATGAAAAAATATTTATTTTATCTTTGGTTATTTTTTTTTTCACTTTTAAAAAGTATTTTATTAAAATAACATAAACAAAATTTTAAAAAAAACAAAAGTAATATATTTTTTCAAAAAATACATTTGGAGGGGGGGGGTGCAAAAAAGGCCTTCATTGAGATCCGAGGAAACTAAGATAGTTGCCTCGAAACACGGCGATGATTGTAATATTTTAATAGCAGACCCATGATCACTATTAATTTGAAATTTCTTTTACCTATGATCTTTAAAGAATGATAGCTTATGGGTATTGGTAGAAATAATTAAAATAAAATAAAAAATTTCTTTCTTTCTTTCTTTCTTTCTTTCTTTCTTTCTTTCTTTCTTTCTTTCTTTCTTTCTTTCTTGGTTTTACCAATGTCTCTTGATAGTGGAACTTACAATTTTAGTAAACTATATGGTAAGAAATATTTATAAAATACACTTTTCGAGCTAATTTAATTTATTTAGCTCTTGGTTAAAAAAAATTGGCATTTGTTTTGGTTATCCCAGTTACCATATGCCCCGATATCCCATATATAATTTATTTTACTCTCTAAATTTTCTTTATTATTTTAATTTGCTGGTAATAATGCCATAGAAGTAGGCCCAAGGTCTTTTGATCAAAGTTAAAAAATAATCGAATTGTCTATTCTATATTTAATATAATACGATAATTTGAATATTCTATGAGATTAGTAGGCTAAACAAAATATGATCTTACTTTTTATTTTACTTCACCTTCTAAATCTTTTATATTTTTTAGTTAAAAGAGTGGAGCTGGGTCCTAAATATATAAAAATAAAAAAATTTGGTCCATGTATCATTTTTCATGGCTCTAATTGAGAATTATATTTTAATAAAATTTAAAGGATATTTTAATTTTTTTTAATACCCTATTTTCTATATAATTGCTTAAAATCTTCCCCAAAACTTTAATTTAATTAAGTAAGTTTCTATAAAGATATCATCTCATCAAAGTAGCCATTATGATTGGCCCAAATATTATTATATGTTTTTACATTACCCCCTTTCTAGTTCCACATAAATTAATAGTTTTTATAATAAAAATATTTATTTTATTCTCTTAATAATATTAATAAATTTCGATCCAATAAATTGTTGATACTAATTTTTAAATAGTTAAACTTTTTCAAAAGGAGGTATATCATTAAATTATTTTTCTGGCATCTCCTTCCTTTATGCTCTGGCAGAATTTCCTTCTAAAAATTTACGTATTTTTAATTTTTAGAAGGAAATTTAACATACCCCACAACGAGAGGGGTGTGTTAATACTCTTTTAAGATACTATTTCATCTTCTGACAATGATTTCTTTCATAGTTTTTTCTTATCAATTTTTCACATATATTCTCAATTAAAACAAGGATATCTTATTTATATTGATTATCTATCTAAAACCCATATTTTTTGTGAATTTTATTGAATGACAGATGCTCGCTATTCTTTTTAAGAAAATAAGATATGGTTGCTTGACTCGATAAGATACTGATAAATTTATTTTGCTCTTTTTGAAAATTTACAATGATTTTGAATGAAACACAACTACTGAGATTATTAAATCTGGTTCGAACATTTTAGCCTAATTTTATTCAATCAAGATAACGCTTCATTCTTTTTTCTAGTGGCATTTTTGGCTTTAATTGAGTAGAATATAATAATATGATAATAATACATATAGAATCTAAAATTTAACCCTTTAAATGATATAACCCATTTTAATGAATTATTTCAATTAGTTTTTTATACATATACGTCTGTAAATTATAACGAGATACGGAATCTCTCATTGGAAATTTATTTATTTTGGGAATCTTCTAGAAACCATAAGTATCAGGCGCCTCATTAGCCTTTATAATTCCAGGGCGCTCAACTAAAAAATAATTATACTTTTTAAATTGAAATTTGCAAACTCTCAACTAATATTTAAATTTCATATTTTGTCATTTATTATGCATACATATTAATATTAGCATATAAATAATATCAATTTTTTAAACAAGTCCACTTTATTAATTCACATTTTTATACAAAATTAATTTAAATTATAATTAATGTTATTACATAATAAATTTAAAAATATATCTTCAAGTGTTCATTTTGAGTCAAAGTTCATCGGCTACTATAATCTCATATTCAAATCATTTTTAATTGTTCATTTTGAGTCACGGTTCATCACCTACCATAATCCCAAAGGTCTTCTAGCATTCAATTATCTCCCAACGAATCAGGGGTTATGGTTATTTTTTTATTATAAAGGACGGACAATTTCGTAAAAATATCAAATAAGGGACTTGTTTTATCCTCATGTACAAATAATAAAGCAGGGGTTTGATGTAACATAAATATATCAAGTTAGGAGTGGTTTGATATAACATCATAAAAATACTGAATCCCGGGAAATACAATTTTACTAAAAATGAATAAAAAATTTTATTATCCAATGTTTATTCTTTATAAATTAAATGGTATAAAGTAATCATAATGAAGATTTACTATATATTATATGTATAGTGTTAAAAAATATTAGATATTTATTAGAGTTTGTAACCAAAACTAAAAAATGTTCCCATTTTGTCGTGAATATTTTTCAATAAGAATTTTACTTAACTATGCTAAAAAAAATTAAATAGAGTTTCAGATTCTTATACTTTACAAATTTTAATTGTTCTAATAACATATAATTTATTAAATTAATGTAAAATAAATCCAAAATATAAACATATAATTTAACCGTCTATAATAAATTACTCCATTTAATAAAAAAAAAATATAAAAAATATTAATATGTATGTTATAGAATAAAGTTAATATCTAATTTGAAAGGGTACTGGTAAGGTTAAGTTATCTATTAATTGTGTTAAAAAGTACGATTTTTCTCCATTTTTAAAAACGACCGGATTAAGATTTTAGGCAAAATAATATTAATAAGTTAGCCTCAGGGTTAAGCAAATAGATGTCTAAGGCTGCCAGCTATGAGTAAAATCTTTTCAGGTTTACATAATATTATTTTGGTTATAATCCCAAATCAGGTTTTTTAACAATACTAGTATTTACAGGTTCTAAAGAATGTTTTGGTTCTTAAATTTCCCCCCAATTACTAGGGTTTGGCTATATTTTAAAACCATAGTAATCTATTTTAATTTAATTAAAAATTTATTCGTAAATAGGAAAATATTAATATTAGCTCATAAGAGTTGAAAGGTTCTGATATAATGTTTAGATGTGTTATAAAAACATAATTTAAATAATATTAAAGGTAACAAACTCCCGAGGAAAGAAAATTCTTGGATTGATTAAATTTACATCTCGTGCCCTTGTAGGAGAATTTTTAAATATAAATAATACGCCTAGTAATATGAAGAATCTTAATAATACAACAATTATGCCTGATTCTGTAAACAAACCTACTAAAAATATCATAATAACTACTGAACCAATTATAGTAACAAGAGTCTTTAGTAATATTTCGAAAAACACTTCCTCAGAAACCAAATATACGAATGAAATCGCAAATATCACATCTACTACATCTACTATTACAATTGAAGCAACCATATTTAATACTGTTTTGTTAAATAACTCTGATACAAAGACGTCCTCTTTAAATACAGCTACCACAACAGACACACAAACTAATAATACAGCAATCATGTATACAACTAATATAACCGTACCTAAACTTACTACTGATACAACAGCAACCTCATTTGATATTCAAACTACTACATCCTCATCTACTACTGACACTAAAACCACACCCACAATCAAATCAACCATATTTAGTACGGATACGCCCATTATTTTACCGACTATAAATATCAACGCATTTACTAGTATTACTGACGCAAGAGAAACTACACCTATTACTGCCATCACAAACATACCTACTACTGAAACTGTAGCTCACACATCAAATACTGAGGCCTCAACAACCACTCCTACTATTAATACAAAATCTACATTTATAAACAATACCATAACAACTGAACCTAATACTGTTACTACTCAAACTACACCTAATATTAAAACTAAATCATCCACCACATCTAATGATGATACTAACACCACAGCTATTACTTCTACTGATATAACAACAGCTCTAATAAATACTGAAATAACATCAATCATAAATATTACAGATATATCAACACATATAACTGATCCTTTGAAAATCACATATACTACAATATCCACACCTACTACTGAAACAACAAAAAATATACTTTCTGATGCAACAGCCATTCTAACTACTGATATCAGGATAAATACTCCAACTACCGATACTTTAACAACCATATTTTTAAATGATACGAGACCAGTTGTATTTACTACTGATATAACAGGAACCATACCTAACATTGATACCACAACTACTACACCTAATATTGATAATGTAACATCTATACCAATTACCGATGCCATAATCGCCTCACCAACTATTGATACATCAATCACATCTATAACTGATATAACCAGATCACTAACTACTGATACCACAGCATCCTCAATTGATATTCAAACCACACAATCCCAATATACTACTGATGCAATCACATCTACAAATATAACAACCATACCTAATACGGATGCCACCACAATTAATTCTACTATCAACATCATTGCTATTACTACTGCTATTGATGCAAATGAAACTAAACCCCTTACTAATACTATTGCACACACACCTACTAAAGATGCCGTGGCAGACACATCATCTACTGTAATAACCAAAACCATCCCTAATATTGAAACTTCAACATCCACATTTATAAACGATACAACAACCGAACTTAATACTCTTAATACAGCAACTACACCTAATATTAAAACTACAACATCTACCACATCTACTGCTGATACTAACATAACCCCAGCTATCATTGTTGCTGAGATAACAACAGTTCTACTGACTACTGAAATCACGACAATCATAAATACCACTGTTACTACACCTACAGATATTTCAAGGCATAAGACTGATACTATTAATATCACAGATACTATTAAAACTAATATATCCTTACCTACTAGTGAAACAACAATAAACCCATTTTCTGATATACCGGCAATACAAACTACTGATACCACTATAAATACGCCAACTGATACCTTAACAACCATAGTTGCTAACAATACAAGGCCAATTGTATTTACTACTGATATAACAGCAACAATACCTGGTATTGATACCACAACACCTAATACTGAAAATATAACATCTATACTAATTACCGATATCACAATCGCCACCCCAACTATTGGTACAGCAATCACCCCTGTAACTAATATGACCGCACCCAGACTTATTACTAATACCACAGCAACCTTATTTGATATTCAAACCACAACATACACATCTACTACTATTGGCGCAACAACTACACCCCCAACTAAAATAAGCATATCTATTACGGATACCACGATAGCACCACTAGTTCATACATCAGCTAAAAAACTATTGCAAGGTTGCTTAATAAGACAAGGCAATCTAAAAGAACAAGCACAATCCTTATTGCCCAAAAAATATGGATTTAATATGCGTAATAAATCTTGTGAATATTGCATATAATATCGATACAATAAATTATGTTATTTCATTTCATAAACTAGTCATCATATACATATATTTAAATGCTTTTAGTTATTCATTAAAAATTTTAAATTGAAGTAAAAATTATTTGTTTTTTAAAGCCCCCTCCTCCTTACACCTTGAAAGGTTATTTTTTTGAAAGAAATTAAAATGCAACACTTCTAATTTTTTTACATGCAGTTATATAATAATAATATAATTAATGCTTAATAAAAGTATCAATCAGTTCTGAGTTTAACCTATTAAAAATATTTTGAATTTAAACGTTATAATTTACTTCACATTTATTTATTTATTATTTTACGGGAAAAAAAAGGTATAAATGGATCTACTATTTTCCAGTTTAGAAAATATTTAATTAATACTACTTGCAACTTAGATATAATTGTGGCAATTCCTCCAAACACGCTAGAAGGTTAAAAAAAACAAAAAAAAATGATGTTTTTAATATATTATTCTTTTCATTTCTTTTCTCTTTGTTTCATTTCTTTTCATTTTTTTCTTTTCATCCCTCTTTTAATTAAATTATTAATCAAGATCTTAAGAGTTATCTGGGCTGAAATATTTATTTTGATCATAAATTAATTATTGCCTTGTCTCTGTTGCTGCATTATAGATTTTTTTTAACGATAAATTTAGAAATATAGAATTTTTTTAAATAAACTATTTCTTTAAATTGATTTAGAATATAGAATAGTTTCTAATTTATTATCCTTTTGGTAGATTCAAATTTTAATTAAAAATTTATTAGTAACTAATTTAAGGCCATTGTAAAAATAGTTTCTAAAAGTAAGCGTTTTTATACTAATATCATATATATTAGGAAAACCTATATAGTAATTAGTGTTTTAGTCATGATAACTATGATAAATTATATAATAAGTTATTATCAACCAATATATATATTTAGTTATTGTATCAAACCGAAGTTATCGAGCCAGCAATTCACCATTTGGGGTAGAGAGATACATTCGCTCAAAAGGCTTGATAATCGGTGTAACAAGAATTATCAAGTTTAGGCGATATATCTTTTACAAATTTGCTATTAGAAATGGTCGAGGAGGGCCTGCCACTCCGATAAAACTTAAAGTAACAATTATTCACATAATATGCTAGGGAAGACCACTTTCTTTTGATCAGTATATTTTTGTAATATAAAAATAAATATAGGACATAGATTAAAATTTTAAATAAGATAATCTCATCATCCAACTATAAAATAAAAAACCTCAGAGCTCGATCTCTCATATTGATGCGACAATTTTTTTCATATATAAACAATATACTCTGGGTAAGGTGGATACGTATGAAGTGAAATATTTCTAGATAAACTAGAAATTTCTTACAACTAATTTTATTTTGTATTATAATCAGTAGAGGATATCACATAAAAATGTTGAAGGTTTTTAATTTCTACAAAAATAAACTTTCTTACCAAATTTGATTAAATTAACTCATATAAAAATGATTTTTATTAACCCGGTTGCAGATTCTAAAAAACATTTTTTATTTTTAAATATTAAAAATAAAACGATAATTTGGATATTCTATTGAAATCAGGCTATATAAAGTAACATTAGTTATTTTTATTTTTAATTCACTTTTTATATTTTTAAATTAAAATCGCAGAGTTTGGGCCCAAAGATAAAAAAAAATAACTAGTGCCTGCCATTATATTTGCTCTAATTGGGAATTATACATGAATTTTTAATAATTGCTTATTAAATTATTTATAATACTCTATGCTTTATAAGTTTAATGTCTAATATGTTCACCAAAAACTCTAATTCAGAAAGAAAAAATTTGAAGAGCCCTCACAAAATTTTTAATTTTTTTATACCATTACTTCAAAGTAATCAATTGATTGGCCCCAATTATATCTTATGTTTTGTTATCACCTATATTCTTATTCCCCATGAAGTGATTATAAAAAAAATATTTATTTTATTATTAAAATAAGATTAATATATTTCAATCCGGACCCCCTTAAATGTTGATAAAATCTTACGAGATACTTCATATTTGTTGCATAGTTTTTTTTGTCTTTTTCAACCAAAACTATGCTTTCTCTCTATTAATACTCTCTTATTAATTTCATATATATTCTCAATTGAAATAAGGATATCGTATTTCTATTGATTGTGGATCTTATTCCCATTTTTATAGAGTTTATTGAATAACAGAGGCTCATCTTGCTCAAACAAATTTTCTCTTTAAGAAAATTATAGTTAGCTGCTTGGCTGGATAAGATATTAAGAGAGAATTTTTTCCCATTTTTGAAGATTTATAATGATATTGATAAAACACAAATCCCCAGATTATTATTGATGGGAATTTTACGTCTCATTTTTTCAACAATATCAGATTGTTAAAGTTGCTATAATCTATCTTAAAAGATTTTACCATTAGATATCACTCTGATTTTAGGGAATTTTAACTCTGGGAGTTTCCTATACCGTTACGATAATATAACGAAAAATTATTATAAATATTCTACTACTATTCCTTTTTTAACACATTAATTAATATCGAAAAATAATGAAAGTTTTAAATATTCATAGGAAAATTATTAAACAGAGAATTTCTTTAAATTGCATGCTTGCACAATTATAATCTAAATTGTGGTTTATACGCTTTATCCCTCGACGCTTAACAATAAACTTTTTATAATCTAGAAATGAACAAATTATAATTTCTGCTCAAAACTCCTCCAAATCATTCACGTACAAAGAGGACTGTAGGGTAGGGGGCAACCAAACCCCCTCACCCCCAGCCATATTTTTTAAAACATTACTGATTCCTATCTCTTATACATATTTATTTTAATTTATATTTATTTATCTCAATCACAGCAGAATTAAATATGCTACTAATTTATTCAAAGAATTATTTCAAATTTTCCTTGCATTATTATTTACCATTTTAAAATTTTCCATCAAATCATTTAAAGCCATATCACTACAAAAATTAAGTAAAATATTTCAAAAAAAAATTATATTTAACCATGAAAATAGCTGAAAGTATTATATTGGAACCTAAGGAAAGTAGGGCAAATGTAAATCACAAATTTTATAATTATTTATTACTTAAAAGCACTATGAATTTAATATTTTTGTTTAATATTAAATAGGGTCAGTCGAAGAATATATCAAATGAATATGATTAATCATGCTGCACTTACAGATCTGCAAATATTTATACCGGAGAATCCTTCCGAGTCTAATTCAATCTTGATAGAAAAAAATTAGATATATGACAATTTTTTTGTGCGGATGTTAAAGTATGCTTTTATGCATTACTAGCTGAGCAAGCTCTAGTATTAAAGTTTTAATATATTTTATATTTTTCCAAAAAATACTATAGATACTCGAATTCAAACACATTTTACACTATTTTCCTAATCATAAAAATTATTGTATATTCTGGCAACTCTACCCATAAGTCCATCAATGAAAGAACATTTTCTTCTTTAATAGGAATAAAAACATAGATGAAAAGTAATGTTGTTAAATTCATCTATTTGAGCCGATTTTTATAAATAGCTAACTAAATATTTTAGCCAGAAAAATATCGACTAAGCTTCGAGAGTCTCTAATGTCCCTTAGTGTCATACATAATCAAAATCTTCAGGCTTGCGTAATATATTTTTGGATAAATATTGAGTTAGCCTTTTAAAAAGCGGTTCACATCGAGCCGTTTAACAACACTACTGAGAAATACTTTTTCTGAAAATAGATTGAATTGGTATTTGAACTTCATAATATACATAGGGAGTTGATACCAAGCACTGATGAAAGCATTGAAAAATTAGCTCAATCTAATAGAAGATTGAAATATACATTATGCATATTAATTTTATTTTTCCCATTTTTTAATACACCATATTTTTTCCATCAATACTTGTTAGTTTATAAACATTCAATAATTTTTAAGAATATTTTTAAGCATTAATCAATATTCCCAACATTTTTTTTATCATTTAAATTTATATATAAAATTAAATGCGTATAAAATCTTTATCTTTTTGACCAAGATTACATACATTTAATATTTTATCAATAACTTATTTAAATTTGTATATTACAAATTGTCAGTATTTTATCGTCACTAGTCCGTATTTCTGAAATTTAAGATATTCTTAAATTACACCTTCAATAATTCCAAAAAAAAATATTATAATATAACCTCCCTCATAGCCTATTCGTGTGTACGCTCCTGTTTCCAATCACTTACAATCTTGACGCTGTTATCTGCTATTGGTTCACCCCATAGGATGAAAGCGACACAATCTTATATAAAAATATATTATTTTTACATGCAACATAATAAAATAATGATTAAAAATATTAAAGGTGTCAAACTCCCGAGGAAAGAAATTTATTGGATCGATAACATTTACATCTCGTCGGCTTATGGCAGGCGTTTTAACTACAAAGACCACATCTAGAATTAATCCTAATACTAAAACAATCATGACTACTACTGTAGCCCCAATGACTATGACTTACAAAAGTACTGCACCAATTATGAGTACTAGAGACTTTATTGATATTTCGCGAATCCCCTCGACAACTATATGAACTACTCCCACAGGCCGTTTGAGCCCACTTGGTCGGCCTGCTAAAGTCGAATAATTTGAAATAAATAGAAATAATTATTTTATAAAATAGATAAAAATATTGATTACACTATTTTTTTTTCAGCAATTTATATTATTTAGAATTGTTACCTACAAATATATAATATTTTTAACAGAATTGTAATCGAATCAAAAACAATTATTAATCATGTAATATAATTATATAACTGTAAAAATATTAATATAATATATCATATTTGTTTAGAAATTTATATTTTTATTTATTCTTTGGAATTTTTTTTTAAAATTATTTTGTATTCTAATTATTTTTTTTCTTTTATTATCTAAGTCCTGAATTTGAGATTATATAATCTTAATATTTGTTTATAATCAAATCTTA